GCAATCTTGAGAGGCTTAGAGACCAGACCAGTGACCTATGTTCAAAACAGTGGTGCATTTATTGGTGCATCACACAGGCTATATACACAATGCTGTACAGTGCTCAAATGAAGTAAATAATTCAAAAACAAAATCCTAGCCGTGTCCCGGCACTGACTACACAGTCCTGACTAACAACCTGTACAAACTTATTATTTGTCAGGCCTCAAAAACCACAGTGACCAACCTTATGCTCCAGCAGATTCAGACTGTCTGCTCCCTAGGCTCCAGAGCAGTGTCTGTTTGCCTCACCTGCACTAAATTGCCACTGAGGCAAAGTGTAAGGCCCTGTTCACACCTGTACGTTTTGTCGCGCGTTCAATGCTCTATGAACGCTCTACAATACGTACAAACATGAAAATCCCATTGTTTTCTAGGGGTATGGTTCACACCTTTCCGTATTTCCGCCCGTCTGAAAGCCCTACAAAACGGCCTACGCCCAAACAAGTACATGTACTTCTTTGGGCCGTTTTTGTTGGGCGTTTCCATTGGGATACAGCCAAGTAGCCCTCGGAAACGCGCGTCTGTCGCGCGTTTTTTTTACCGCGAATCACTGTAAAAAAACGCGCGACAAACGCACGACAGACGGGCATATTCAATACGCCTAGGTGTGAACCCAGCCTAAAACTACTACTAGAGGTTCCGAAAGGTGTAAGAGAGGAATCTGGGTGACACATAAACCCCCCGGACAGGCCCTCTCCTGGCTCTCTACATGATGACCTGCTACACCTTATAAATGGGGGTTTTCCTCAAAACTCGCACTGTGGTTTAGATATAAATGGTGCTTTTGCACATGACCCTGGCATACAGATGGACCCCCAAATCACTTAAGAAGACATTTCAGAGAAGAGTTGATCATGTCACTTACTCTTGACATACTAAGGTATCACTGCTATTTATTGATAGTGAGCGAGTCCTACAGAACAGTATCTGAAACATGGCTGAGAGGTCTTCTTTAATTTTACTTTTCAAGGATTAGGCTCCAAATTACTCGCTGGAGAATTACTGACAGGACAAAAATTGCATACACATCATTTGCTGCCATCATGTGGAGAGTTTTCATGACTACACCATTTGGGATAAAGGAAAAAATGAATAAAGAAAAGCATCTCAACACTATTAAAATAAGGACCTGATTTAGGAAAGCATGATTTAAAGGATGGACTGGATTTGTTTGTCTCGGGGGCAAAAACAACCAACTGGCTCCATCATGCTAATTACAGTTTTCTGTAGGCTAAAGAAAGTGCCCTACACAAAATGAGACACACATCCACAGTGATTGGTGGGCGAAAGGTGAGTGTCATCTTAATGGATATGGGCCAGAGAGAGGGGCATAGTGTGTGGGGGAGGAAGGGTGGGATGGGGGGTGGGGGGTAGGGGGCGGTGAGAGTGGATTGCCGTAAAGAGAGAAAAAGAAGCAACCAAACTGGACTGTGGAAACAGGGGTGAGGGGAGGCAGTTAGGTCAGCCTGTAAAAGGAAATAGAAAGGTGTTCCACATTTAGTCACATGACATCTTAGAGCTGTAAAATTATTTGGAGCTGGAATAGCAGGTATGAACAGAGATACCCAACACTCAAGGATAGCAGGTATGAACAGGGAACAGGTATCTATAAAACTAAGCACCTGTCACTAACTGAGGGTCCTGCTCTAACCAAGGACTGAATGGGGGAGTATGTCTATTCAATGGCTGCCAGCCCAACTTACCTTATTTGTACTTGCCTGGAGGGCAAATGCCCCCTTCCCCCCTAGCCTACTCCTACCCTAAATTATGGAAACGTGGGCATAAGCTAAATGTAGAGTGGGGGAGTTTTCCAGGGGTGGAGTCAGAAGTTTTAAAACAAAATGATGTTCTGTTCAGTTGCTAAAATAAAGAACAGTGGATGGCATCACAAGTCCTACAGCTCAGCACACAACCTACAGATTTTTAAAACCGTAAGCTGAGTGATGAGCAGACAGAATCTGGAGCAGTTGCGTATGGCAACCAATCAGCTTCTATCTTTTGTTTGTTCAGTTAAAGTGTATTTCCACTTTTGCAGTCAAATTTGAGAAAACCCTCAATATATGTTTGTTATGTGATCCTATTCCCACAGCATAACGAAAAATAATTTAAAAAAATGATTTCTTACTTTTCAGATTGTTTGTTACAACAGGCAGGATGGCCGATTCCAGTTTTTTCTCACCATCTTCACGGTGATCTGTCCTAATGAAAAGGCTTATGACTGTAATTTGACAATTGTGTTTTGTTCATTCACTTCATTAACATTCAATGGACAAACGACCTCAGACCCCTCACCTCTCACAGCCCCTCCTAACATTGCAAAGAAAGATAAGCAAGTAGAAATGTTAACACTTTAAACCCTAAACTAAGTAAAAGCAGAAGCATTTTTTAAAATATTTTTTAGCTCATGCTATGTGAATGTAAAACATGTAACAAATATAAAATTTACACACACATGATAAAATCTGAATTTTTGGCTAGAAAACAGCTTCAGACCCCCAAACAATGATGTATTTTCTGAAAGCAGGGGCCCTGTAGAATAAAAAGATACTAGTTGCAATTTTTATGTTGCATGGTATTTGCACAAATATTTATCAAACAAGTATTTTTAGGATAAAATACACTAAAATAAAATTTAGTGCACAGAAACAGAATATAATGCTCAATTTTTGGGTAAAATATAAAAGTTGGGGTCACCCCGGGTAAATAGATACAAAAAAAACATGTCAAGCCTTAAAATTGCGTGCGTCCGTGAAAACGCAAAAAACTACAATTACCAAAATTTCCCATAGGCTGCGCTTAAATGCTTTTAGGGCTCATAAGTTTAGTGCTAATAGTGATTGGTGGGCCTAGAATTATTGCTCTCACTCCGACGCTCGCGACGATATATAACACGTGTCGCAATTTTTGTTTTTGCACGTAAGCGCATCTGATGCATGTTTGTGTTGTATGTGCGTGCACATGGGGGGCGGGGGACATTAAAAAAAATTTGTTTTGCATTTTTTTATGTTACTTTATGTTACTTTAATATTTACAATTTTTTCTTTTTTTTTACACTCAGCTTTATTGCTATTGCATAGCGGGCTAACAAGCCCCCTATGTAATATCAAATATAATGTGACAGGTCCTCTTTATGGAGACATCAGGGGTTTTTCGGACCCCTAATGTCACCTAGGGACCCCAAAGAAGCTGATGAAGCAGAGATCCATGGAGGGGGGAGGACACGGTGCCGCACCGTAAAAGCGATCCGGCGCCTGTTCACCGCTGCTGCTGTCAATCAGCAGAGGTGAACCTGAAGTTCTCCCTCAGGTCCTCTTCTGCTGATTGACAGCAGCAGGGGGCGGGTGCAATAGCCAGCTTGCTATTGGCTATTGCAAATTGAAATAGCCAATAGCAATCTAGCTATTCATTTCTATGCTGTGTTTTTTTTTTTTTTCTGACTGCAGCAGCTGCCAGAATACTAAAAAAAACCTGCAGATAGCAAGCGAAGCAATAACTTCTTTACTATCTGCAATCATTTAAGGGGGGTGCTCCCCCCACGCGGATGGGGGGGTTAGAAAGAGGGCACCTCCCTGAAATTAGAAGGACACCTCCCTGAAATCAATGTTTTTCAGGTTGAGATCCCTGCTGTAGGCAACTGCTCCAGATTCTGTCTGCTCCAGTTTTGATAAGTTACCCTCAGTGATCTCCAGCAAAATGGTGCTGCTAGGTAACAGATACTGACAACACAGTGAGCTTTTGCCTCTGTCATATGCCTTATACTGGTCACGAGCAAGATGGAGCTGCTGCTTAACCACCTCCCGGTTAGCCGTTGTAAAAATACGGCCGGCAGCTCTCTAGATCTGAGCGAGCCGACAGATCGTTTTGTATGGGGTGCCGATCTGTGTTGCCCCCCCCTCCGCTGTCACGCTGGTCCCGGGCTCCACTGTGCCCGGTGCGAGCCCGGGACCAGCATAGTGCCTCTGTGACAGGGGATCAGAGGGAGATCGGTACACGATCTCTCTCCGGTCCTCTCTCCGCTGTCAGAATGCGGAAGTGGTGTATACTACATTCTTGTGTCACTCTCTAGCATGAGAAGCTGATCCTAGGTGACATTAGGGGTCTTGGAGACCCCTGATGTCTCCACAAAGAGGACCTGTTACATACCTTTGCTATCACATTGGGGGGTTTTATTAGCCCTACTATGTGATAGCAATAAAATTAAGTGCAAAAAAAAAAAAGGGAAAAAAAGTTTCCCAAAAAAATTGCATACACGCATGCAAACATGCGTCGCCTATGGTCAATTTTGGGTATGGTATTTTTCTGCGATTTCGCGGGCGTGTGGCAAACGCAATTTTAAAGCTTGACATGTTTGGTTTCTATTTACCCGACGTGACCCCGTCTTTTATGTTTTATCAAAATATTGGGTAATAATAATTGTTTCCAAACATAATGTAAAAAAAATTTCAGTAATTTTTCCTTAATATAGTAAAAAATAAAAACCCGCAGTGGTGATTAAATACCACCAAAAGAAAGCTCTATCTGTCCCCCAAAAATGGTATCAAATTAATTTCAGTAAAGCGTTGCATGACGGAATAAATGTCAGTCAAAGTACCGCAGCGCTGAATACTGAAAAATGGACTGGCCAGGAAGGGAGTCTAAACACCTGGTCAGCAAGCGGTTAATAGATACAATACAGTGAGCTTCTTCCTCTGCCTTTTCTCTTCTACTGGTCTCCAACAAGATGACGCTGTCGCTTAATAGATACAATACATTCAACTTCTTCCTCTGCCTTTTCCCTTATTCTGGTCTCCAACAAGATGGCGCTGCTGTTTGATACAATACAGTGATCTTCTTCCTCTGCCTTTTCCCTTACACTGGTCTCCAGCAAGATGGCGCTGCTGTGTAATAGATAGACTTTTTCCTCTTGTATTGGCAGTCACGGGCTGATTGTCCGTGACGTCATCATATGCTGTGTAGTTGTTTCCTCCTGTGTGTGGTGTAGTAGACAAAGATGTGTAGAAGGAGATTGGTGTAGCAATGCTGCTCCTGTGTGTTTTGTGGTCTGTGGTTTGCATTCGCCTGATCACCTCCCTGCCTGTGCTCTCTCAGGGAGTTCAGTGCTACAATGACACTTGTCAGTCTCAGCCGTCTGCTGTCAATCACACCTTCCTGAGCTTCCAGGAGATATTCGGCAGCAAGTACCCGGCGCCCAGGAGGCTTTTAGAAGAACGATACAAAGTGTTCCTGGTATTTATGCTTTGTTCTCATTATTATTAGAGGGGATGGAAGGCAGGACTTCATTGTTCATGCAGTGTGAGATGGTAGAGAGTGTCCAGCAGGGGGCAGCAGAGTGTCAGCAGGAAATGGAGGCAGGGGAGCAGTGCTTCCTATTCTGGTAATTATAGTTCATATACATTGGCGGACCTAAAGAACAAAGGGCCCTGGTGCAAGATTTGTTTTTGCCCCCGCCAAAAAAAAACCCCACAAACCCCCCCAAACCACACCCCCTGAAGCAACCACAAAAAAAATGTAGTTGGAAAAATAGAAAAAGATT